AGACCAACCTGAAGCACGTGGCCGGCGCGGCGGCGGCAGGCGCCGTGGTGGGCGGCCTGGGCGGCTACGTGATGGGCCGGGCCATGTCGGGGATGCACTACCACTTCGACAGCCTCGAAGAGGAGAGGTGGTGGAACACGAACGCGGGCCGCTACCCCAACCGCGTCTACTACCGCGACTACAGCGGCCCCGTGACGCAGGACGCCTTCGTGGCCGACTGCTTCAACATCACCGTGACCGAGTACAACATCGGCCCCGCCGCCAAGAAGGGCAACGCGTCGGAGGCCGACGGCGGCAACAAGACGGAGACTGAGATGGAGACCAAGGTGGTGACGAGCGTCATCCGGGAGATGTGCGTGCAGCAGTACCGCGAGTACCGGCTGGCCTCGGGCGGGCGGCCCCACCTGGCCCAGGCCTTGCCCCAGCTCCTGGTCCTCCTCGCCGTCCTCCTTGCCATGCCCTGAGGCGGCCCGGCGGCCTCTCGTCCTCGCTTGTGTCTGTCTTTGGTGAAGCACCGTGAGCTCCGTTAGCGCTAACGAGCACTGATACCGTCCTAGGGGCGCCAGGCGGACGGCCCGGACGCTCGAGATGCCGGCAGGCCTCTTCCGAAGCCGATCCTGGTCGTCTCCATGGAAGCTCTGCGTTCAGGGCCTAAAGTCAATGGGATGCAAGTTTAACATGAAATTTTAGTTAGTGGTCCTCTCCTAAAGCTGTTCCTGGGTATCTCCTTGGGGGTTCTACGTACCGCTCGTGCCCAAAAGTCAACGGGATACAAATTTAGGATGCAATTTTAGTTAATGGTCCTCTTCCAAAGCTGTTCCAAGTTATCTCCATGGAGGTTCTACGCACTGTTCATGGCAAAAGTCAACGGGATGCAAGTTTAAGACACAATTTTAGTTAGTGGTCCTCTCCTAAGGTTGTTCCGGGCAATATCCATGGAGGCTCTACAAACCGTCCAGGGCCACAAGTCACCAGGACTCAGGTTTAAGGTACAATTTGAATTAGCGGTCCTCTTCCAAATCATTCCTGGTTATCTCCATGGAGGCTCTATGAACCATTCACAGCCAAAAGTCAACTGGATGCAAATTTAAGATGCAATTTTAGCCATCGGTCTTCTACTCCAAAGCCATTCCCAGTAATTTCCATGGAAGCTCTACATCCGACGCGGCACCGAAAGTCAACGGGACTCAAGTTTAGCCAGTCTTCGCTCCGGATTCACTCTCGTGCCTCGTTCGTCCCACGCCGGCGCAAGGTGATGGCCAGTTACGGAGCCGGACACAGGAAGAAGGGGCCTTCAGCCCGGCATCGTCCTCTTCCTCGGAGCGCCGCGGGAAATCCTCTTTGCTAACGAGCGACCTCTTAGCTAATCTGCTTAGTATCAGTGATGCTAAAATACCCTTTTCCGGGACACGGTGTTGAGCATCGCTCCAGGCCCCGGTCCGCCACGCCGCAGTTTTGGGATGCATGGAGGGAAGGACAGACCTGGTTTTTAAGCAAGACCCTCGGATTGCAAAGTCACAGGCCGTCCTTGCACCTTTTCCAGGCTAATTCCCCCCAAAACCGCCCCCTGCATGTTCACAGGAACCAGCCCCGCTCCTTGCTTGTGATTCCGGGAGATAGGAAAAACACCGGGATGCTGGAAACCACCTTTTGCAAGTGATTTGTTGGCTACGCAGCGCTCCAGCTCCCCTGGCTCATGCAAAGGGCCTGTAGCTATATGTACATCTCGACGTAGAGCCAGCGAGTACCTAATATATCTCGTGTATTTTTATTATATTTCTTTTTGCAAAGCACTGGATGACACCAAAACCGCCCTAAGCCCTTTTTGCTTCAGTGTGAGCTCGATGGATATTTATATATACGTAAATATATATATATATTGTATAGAAAACTTGGAGGACCTTCACCATAGAAGCAGGACTTTGCGATAGGGGAACGTTTTGTACACTTGTTAACGGTACGCGTAACCAAGTTTTACGTCCCAATACTTTTATAAATGTTCAATGTCTGGTTAATATTAAAATAAGCAAAGCAAAGGCGCCAGTCGGGCTCCGTCACGCGGCTTTTTCATAAATTTAGGCCCCTTTTTAGCTCCTTGGGTCACCTTGACCCAAGCAGCAGCTCTAACCCTGGACCATGAAAATGTTTTTTTTAATATATATAAAATAAGAAATAAAAGTGATACAACGGATAGGGAAAAGGGTTTCTTCTCCCCACACAACCCATTCGTACCTGCATTTTGGGTACAAACTTCATTTTTTTGGCCCATAAATGCTTGTTGCTTCAGGAGCAACACATGCAAAGCCCTGGTTAACACTACAAGAGACTCAGATGTCCCCTGCCAAAGCAGCCCCGTTGCTCTGTTTCAAACAGAACAAATTAATATGACATTCAGAATAAATAACTTTTCTAGTAGTAAATGCCCTTGGGGATTATCCGTGGTCGCTTGGAAGGGGAAACCCGATGGGATGTCACGTGCGGAGCTCCCCTATGAGCCCTGCACTGGGATACAAACAAGGCAGTGACCTATGTGGCTTTGGGGGGGACAAGGAGCTTTTTCTCCTATTTTTAAAGGTCAAAAGGGAAATGAGAAATGAGAAAAAAGCCGGGCACGAGCAGCCCCATCTGTCTAGTGGCGACAGTTCAAGCTGTTCATTAACCGGTGATGGAAAAACAAGCTGTGCGGGGCTCCTTTCCAAAATGAGGTCATGGAAAAAAGAGGGGGAAAAGGGGAAGGGGGAAAGGAAAAGTCACGCTCCCACACGCTGCATTTTCCCTGTGCGCAAGCCGTAAAAAAAAAAAGGAAAAAAACCAAAACAAAACCTCGTGTGATGTCTTCTTCATCCTGCTCCAACTCCTGCATTTGCCAAATGCACCCGGGACGAGGGGACATTGCAACCACGCAAGCCCTGGAGTGGGGAAAGCACATGCTGGAGAGGCTAAAAAACAAGGAATATGCCCCAAAATCACAAATGCATCAGGGGAGGGAGCCCAGAGCCGCTCGGGAGGCGGTGGGTGGGAATATCCATGCTTGGGATTCGGAAACGGAGGAGCGCGGGCAACAGCTCCATCTCCCGTCGGAGCTGCCGCACCGGCGCTTCCGAAGGCCACGCGCTCCCTGCTTGCTCCCGAATTTCGGGAGCTGCTCCCGGCCCCGGGGCTGCATTCCCGTGCAAACGGAGCAGGAAAGCAGCATGCAGGAGATTTTGGGGGCAAAACCTGGCAAAATGCGGAGGATGAATCTTCCCCTGTCCTGCCTCTGCTTCCCTGGGATGTTTCCCAGCTCGATTCCTCCCTCTTTTCTGCATCTGGTGGTCAAAGCCCACTATGGGGCTTGCAAGTAGCCAAATATTGCATGAAAGCTCGGCATGAATTACAAGCCAGGGATGCTATAGGGAAAAATGGGGAAAAAAACCACTAACTCCAGAAGAAAACATTCCATTCAGGGAAAGCTGAGCCCAAAATTGCAAATGGGCTCAAAAAGCAAATGCAAAGAAATCACCCTGGGAAGAGCGAATCCCCCGGGCTGCAGTGGGTGATGCCAAAGAGGAGAGAAAAACAGTAGGAATGTGACCCAAAACGTGCAGGAGTCTCAAGGCAAAACTTTATTGCAAGCGCGAGGTTGGGATCATGGTTTGCCGGCAGGGAGGCGAGTCTGGAGCAGGGATGCTCCAGCCCCGGCCTCGCTGTTGGGCACTGGGATAACAAAGAGCAAATTTATCCCGTGCTTAAAAAGGCATCTCCGACCCCTACGAGCCCCCTGCTTGTCCATCCCGTGGGTCCCAGGGGGCTTTGGATGGGAGTTTTCCCATCAAAATCCACAGCGGAGCATTCACAGTGCTGCTGCGGCCGGCAATGCTCCCAGGCTCCTTGGAGCAGCCGCTGCTCCGGGCGCATCCGGATGCA